TCTAGGATATTGAAAGTTTTCTAATAACTAAAAATTTAATATGCAATAAGACGAAAAGCTTAGTTAAAAATGAAAAATCTTTATTTTTATGTAACAAGTACTATCATTCGAAAGTACGAAAATGACGTATCACCTCTAAGGGTGATTTTTTTTTTTTTTTTTTTAGAAATCAAAAGCATTATAATTATCTAAAAAATATTAATTAAAGATAATACATCTAATTATTTTATAAATTAGTCGTTACAAGAAAATAGTTAATAATAAATATATGATTAAAAAGCCAAATTAATATCATGAAAGTTGCGAGACCGTTCCATTATTGTATACTAATCTATTAGATCTTCTAGTCCTTTTATTAGTACTCGAACGTTCATCTAAAAATTGTTCAACTATTTTAGCAACTACTTTACCACCGTCATGTGTTAATCTTTTATCAGTATTTTGATCGGACATGCCGTAAGCTTTTAATATATATTCTTTCCATTGTCCAGCTTCAAAATGATCCTTTGACATCTCTACGCATAAACCATGAGTTTCCATTAAACTACGCAGTCCATATTCTTCGATAAACTGTGGTCGTGGGACATAAATGAAAGGTTTTCCGTGGCCAATACATTCGGAACAAGTACCATAACCCTAAAAGAAATTAAATGCATTTGTTAAATAATGAAGGGCATTTTATTATTGTTACATATAATCGAAAAAGAAAAAAAGAAATTACCAGTTTGCCCATTACAGCATCTGCAGCATTTGTTAAATCAGGAATATATGCATCCTTGGCGCATGCATAAAATCGATCAGGTAAAACAGCCCCTGGGTTACCACAAACAATAGCGATCCAATCATCAGGCAAGGGAGAACCCCATTCTTCTATCCCCACCAAATTTTGACCACCAAAAGATACCAGCAGGACTTTGTGAGTGTCAAATACCTCTTTTGAGATACCAAGATTAGAAAGTACGACATTTCTTGGCGTTTTAGATTTTCGAACAACAAGAGGAACATCAACAACATTACAGCGTCTGCTAATACGATCAGATCCAATTGATGATCCATTTGATGTAACACAACCGTTTAATTGTTTAGTCACATTTGAATTTGGATACAGTTGAGTTCCGGAATATGATGGTATTGGGATATAACCGGGTAGACGAATTAACAATTCAGATTTTTTATAATCATCTATTACTTGTTTAACGAGTCTCCTTATGGTAATATCCAGTTCGTCACCTTCACACAAACCACTATATACCGCGTCAAATGTAAAATTACTAACTATAGCTGACGGAATCCCGACTGAAGCAGCAGCAGCACTATATATTAGAACATAAAAAATGGCATATAACATATTAAATTAGCATATAGAAGTAACATTTACTCATTGAAATTTGGCAAAAAAATTTTCAACATACCAAGGAAGGAAAGGAGCATCAGACAATACTATATTAGCCTTTACGTTTCTTAGCCATTCGGCCTCTTTTACTATCATATCTGGTCTTTTTTGAAGAAATAATTTCAGATCATCTATGGTTTGATATCTATCAACAGTGTATGCTCGAGGCTGTTTAACACCGGCATCTATAAGCGCATGTCTATATATTGCACCAAGTTTTATTGCTCCTTGGAAAATGAATTCAGGTGCATTTGAAATTATATACAAAGTGTGTCGACGAGGGAGGGAAAGAATCTCGGACGCTACTTGTACGACTCTTGTTGCATGACCGAATCCTTGAGAAGGAAAAAGTAATAAAGAGAGGAAAAAAAAAAAAAAAATTTTTTTTAGTAACTATCAAATTAGAGACGTATAAAACATTTTATATAACAAGAACCTTATGAATTTAAAAAGCGATCCGAAATCGTTTAAATCCCATACCATGTCCGGAAACATAATAACAAAAAACGTAACCGCTTCGAAGTTTTGCCGAAACCCTTTGCCTTGAGAGAGACATTTTTTTGGAAACTTTTGTTTTAGGCATTAAAATAGAAGACTTATACGACTGTAGAATTAAAATAAGAAAAAAAAGGAATAATGCGAAAAAGAAATATTTGAAGATTATATGGTTCAGTTAAAAGAGTGTATTTATAAAGATATAAAGACGGATAGACTTTAAAAAGTCGACGAAAATAAAATTAATAAATATTAATATTAATATAACTAATTAGAACCAACTTTAATTTAGAATAAATTACATTACGATTTAGTTTAGTACAATTTTGTGTAATACATGAATATACATTAATTATGCATGTTGATCAAACATTAACAGGAAATAGTTCATAAAAAACCTAAAAATAGCCATCGTTATGATTTTTAAGGAAGAATCGTTTTACCAAATCAACAAAAAAAATTAATTCAAGAATCGAATCTGGGCATCCAAGATTTATTTTGAAAGACCAATATCAATATTGTTTGAACTTTATTGAAAAACTGCACGTTAATAAAACTAGCGTTGTCTTTGTACCCCGAATTATACAAACATATCTATGGAAAAATGACAAACATTAATAGCAGAAAGTATTACAATATAGCCTATATAAAATATCCTGAATGACGCATTCAATAAAAAACCTTCATTTAGATCATTACGATAAGAGGAAATATCTTTATCAACCAATTACTGAATTAGTATTCAGTATAACCGCATTGGATAACAAAGTTAGATTATAAGTAGGAATTTATCGGCTTAACAGGTTTGTAGATTTAATTATTATAAAAACCGATTAATAATTAAAACCGAATGAACCTAAATAACAAGGAAAGTTTCACATAATAAAATCCTACAATAAAATATTATATATATACGCTATTTGGCAGGATAATTCTCCATCATTCATAATTCATTTTACATAAACTTGCATCTCGGAAACCACGGATACTTGCGCACAGTTCTGTTATTGTGATACTGATACGATTTTTTTGATATAACTACTATTCACTTATAGCAACACCTGGGTTCAATAAGGTAATTCAATTGGCTCGCTGCTTTAGTTCAAAATGTTTATTAACCAAGTAAGGTTGGATTATTCATAGAAGACAATTCCGAACTATATTGCACGTGCTTCCTAGATCTTCATTTTTTTGTGGCCGGCGCCCTCAACGCCTTTTCGCTCATCTTCTTACCAGTTAAGTACTAGACTTCAGGAATAAAAAAGTTAAAAATGTATGCAATTCATTTAATTCACTTTTACAATTACGATTCTTTTT